TTCTGATGCACAAGCCATTTCTAAAATTCTAAAAGACCGCAAAACAAAAAAAAATAATAAAAAAATAAAAAATTGATTTTGATTCATTGATTTGGGGATAGGGGGAGTCTCCAGTCAAAATAGTTTTCTTTAATAACATTCCTGTCGGGTCAGGCAGCAACTGCTCAATTACTTTAATGTTTATTTATTATGCATAAGAATGGACATATCGTTTTAGTTGGTTGCAAGTCGACTCTTTCTTGGCCGCTCGACCTTAACGGGCCTATCTTAGCGCTTTAGCTTTGCAATGTCTAGGTCGGGCCGCCCTCTGCTCTATCTAGAGCTGTCGCTTTCCTATGTCTAGTCGTGCCGCACTATCTGTTTACACCTTTAAGTCACTGCTTAGCACCATAAACTGGTCTATCACAATTGTTGATCATCCAGTTTTAACTGCCTGCAAAATAAATAATTTATAACGTGCTATTATTAAATGTAGCCTTTTTAATTTGGAGCGAATTTATGTCATTGAAAACCCCCAATGACCAAACGATTTCAATTTCGAATATGCGTTGAGTGAAACCGCCACCATCACAATTTCGTTCAAAAATATTAAAAATACCATAGTTTTTCAGCATTTTCAAAAGGAAACAGTTTGTCTAGTTAAGGGCTGAGCAAGAAGAGCACAAATCAAAAACGAGAATGTATTGGTGTGAGAATCAAGATGCTGCACTTAAGGAATAGCAGGATGAGCTGCACTATAGGAAATTTTACCACTTTTTCTGGCCAAAAACCCTATTGTTGAAAGTGAAATATTTTAAATATTTAAAAGCAAGTATTTACAGATGATAAATCTTCAATTATTCGTTTAAAAAATTTCACAAGATGGCACCACTTTTATGTCAAGGACATCAACAACTATCAAAGACACCCATTTTGAAATTATTAAAAATGTAATTTTAGTCAAAATTTCTAAGAATTTTTGAATGTGTGTGACTTAATTTATATATTTTTGACCAATTTTTTATAAACTCACAAAAATTGTTTATACCCTTGCAGAGGTTATTCTAATTTTGGTCAATATTGTGCAACGCAGTGAAAGAGAGTGGATATAAGCATGTCCGTCTGTCTATTCGTCTGTCTGTTTCTACACGAAATAGTCTTTCAGTTTGAAACTGGACTTGAAACTTAACACCTATATCCCGGCCCCACGTCTGGATATCATTGATGGAGCACGTGGCAGCCAAACCGTGGGAGGAATGCTTACCTCATAATTCTTGCGTGAGATCCAAATATTCCTTGATGAACGACCTAGAATTCGGATAACGATTCAGTTTACGACCCAAAACTCGACAACAAGGTGGATGCTGTGCTTGATTGAGAGACGAATCGAATAAGCATATTTTCCTAAGCCGGTCGTGGTGCCGGGTTAATTGGGGATCACAATCGGGATCCTTCGTAGAAGCCTGGTTTATGAAATTGGTGCCACCACCTCCGGAAGCTATCCATCCAAAATGCGTTTTCTGCACAAGAAATAGGCCGTATCCTAGCTGGATTTGCACTGATAAAAAAAACAGGCTGCCTCCAAATCAAAAAATCCACACGCTGGGCTGTGTGGAAGGTTGGATCTTCCAGATCCACGTTGCTAGGAATTTTCCAGTGGGAGGCATATATGTTCAGGCCGGTCTGACGTTCAATAATTTGAGATATCACAACCGCCTTAATGTTTATAGAATACGTAGATAGGTTAGACATTAAGCATGGAAGGAAAGCTCCTGATCGGCAATGGACCAGATTGTTGGCAGTTGACAAAACCACTAATTCAGCGTGGTGATCCTGGGTTAAAAGTTTGTTAGCTGGCGGAGCTTGAGTCATCGAAACCATAGCTTTATTGACAGTATCAAACCCAGAAGCGGGAACAAAGGTATTGCTGACGATATCGACGATTAAATGTTGGGCAGCGGGAGAATGGGAATCTGGGCTAAATAAGCTAAATTCTCAGACTTAAGGCAAGCAAAACCGAGTGCCTTGAATTCGGTGTCTTGAACCTTATCGTATCTTTCCTCAACTGTCAAGGCACGGAACCTTGGGCAAGAAGGCACAGCATGTGCCAGGACAGTGCACAAGGCTCACGGAGAAGGTGGAGCATAAAGGAGCATACAAGATCTTTTATTATAAGGCCTACGTCGGCCCACCTGATTTGCTGCTTGGTTATAGATGGTACCCAGGTTGGTAGACTTCCTGCGAGAGTCTTTGACTTAATCGCTCAGGATCTTCCCCACTGACTTAAGAGGACCCCCCCATTATCGGATTCAAAAAATTGATTTTTTTTGAAATTTAATACAAACTTATAACTAAAAAAAAAACCTAAAAAATAATTTATGTTCATTTGCCAGTCCATTGAAAATCGTCAAAATTTGAAATCGTGAATTGGGGGGGTCCCCTTAAGGGTCGTTTTTTCCGTAACTCCTTAAATGATCATTTAATCACAATAACGAAACCGGGGCGCAGTCCCGTCGGGGCACCAAAACGTTACGATATTAACAATTTTTAATAGCGGAACCTAAAATCCCCAGCCGATCAAAGTCAAAGTTGAATTCATGAAGATAAGCTTAGAAAGTGAAGCTCGAAGCAATGCAGTTCTCTACCATTCCAAGGGCTGATTCTGCATAGATTATTTTACGCTAATTTAAACTACTGTTTTTGCCTGCGTGTCCCAACATGGACGAAAGGATACCCTGTATAAATTAGTTGGGAACCTCGACTATAGCAGTTTTTATACCCTTGCAGAGGGTATTATAATTTTGTCCAAAAGTGTGCAACGCAGTGAAGGAGACATCTCCGACCCTATAAAGTATATATATTCTTGATCAGGATCACCTCCTGAGTTGATATGAGCATGTCCGTCTGTCCGTCTGTCCGTCTGTCTGTTTCTACGCAAACTAGTCTCTCAGTTTTAAAGCTATCGTCTTGAAACTTTGCACACACCCTTCTTTTCTTTGCACGCAGTATATAAGTCGGAACGGCCCGGATCGGCCGACTATATCCTATAGCTGCCATATAACTGATTGATCGGAAATGGTATAACTTTGGTATTTTTAGAGTTAGAGAGTTCAAATTTTAGGTGAGAGCTATTTTTGGCAAAATAATACGACATGCCAAATTTCATAAGGATCGGCCGACTATATCCTATAGCTGCCATATAACTGAACGATCGGAAATGACCCAACTTTCGTTTTTTTGAAGATAGAAAGCTGAAATTTAATACAGATTCTATTTTTGGTCAGTTGATCTAACGTACCAAATTTCATAAGAATCGGCTAACTATATCCGATGTTTGCGATATATATCCGGTTTTAGCTGCAAGGGTATATAAACTTCGGCTCCGCCCGAAGTTAGTTTTCCTTTCTTGTTTTTTGTTAGCTATTGCTTGATGCAAACGATTACCTTTTCGTTTACGGATTACGATAAAACGAAGAATATTTTAGGATATCGGCTATTCCGGCAGATGGTCAACCAGGACCGAAAAAATAAATGTCCATATTCCTCGATTCTTTTTTTGTATTTTCATAAATAAATATCCAAATTTTCATAATCTATTGGATTCATAGCATATCTCAGCATTTTTTTAAAAGCCCGTCAAGTCAAAAAAATGTAATTTTTACCTTTTTTTTTTACTTTCAAAGACATTTTTATGTTTATTTATTTCTCAAGGAAAACATATGTTTGCTCTTTTTGTACTAAATCTCTTAATAACGATTTAATAAGACGAGAAAAATTCAAAGAGGTTGAAAAAATGTTCAATTACCTCTTAATTTGTATTTTAATTTTTAACTATGTTCTAATCGTACGTTCGCGACCCAAAACATAATTTTATTGTAATTGCTTCGCATTAAGTGAAAGCAGGTGGATGAAACTTTTTGTGTTAAGTCATTTTAATGTAAACTATTGAAATTTAACAAAAAATCCCGACTTTTTTAAGAAATTTTTTTTATGTTGAATTTTAAAGGGGCGTGCGTTTGCGACCCTATGTATGACGTACGTATAAAAAATATTATTAAAAAAAAAAGCTTATAAAAAAGCTTAGTTTAAAAAGCTTATAAATATTTGTAGATGAATAAAAGAAGAAAAATTAAAAATAAAATTTGGTGAAACATAATTTTTTAAGGAAAGTATAAATTTATTTATAAAAACAATGAGGTAAACAAAAAAAAAACATTTTATCTGTGGAAAAATCGTACGTTTGCGACCGGTACGTTCGCGACCCGTAGTTTAAAACTAATTTACTACGGGTCGCGTACTAATTTAAAAAAAAACTAATAAATATATTTAATTGGGAATAGACTCGATAGAAAGCTGCCTCTATTTTAAAAGTAAAGTTATTGCATCAAAATATTCCATTCCAATTCGCACATTTTTGGATTTGGCTAGAGCAAGCCAAAACCGACTTTCAATTCGCGTACGTTCGCGACCTCATGTTTTTTGCCAATATTATGAAAATGAAAAATCCATTAGAACCATAATTTACACTAAGAGAAGCCCTCACCAAATGCTATCGGAAACAAAAATAGGGTATACGAAAATGTTTTTTCTTTAATTTTTTGGCACTAATTGCTTACGAACATACGTTCGCGACCCCAGAAAATGCCCATTTTTTATTACATTTTTTTTTTTTTGTTTATTTTTGTATAGATCTTCGGTACCGGTGTTTGACCGTATCAACTGGGTTTTCTTCTTAATTCGTATTTTGCGGTAAAGATACAAAGCGATCGTGCATAGTTTAAATAGTTTAAATTAGCTTGAATTAGCTTACTTGAGACTAGTTTGCGTAGAAACAGACAGACAGACATAATTGTTTATATCGATTTAAGGCCAACTTTATAATATATGGGATATATTATATAAAAATTATATGAAAAATATATAGGGATATAAACTTTAAAAACTTACTTTTTTTTCAAAAAATTAACGAAATATTGTAAATTTGGAATATACTTAAACATTGAGTATTGTAAAATACGAACCTCATAAGAGTTTCCGGTGCCAAAGTATATGGGTACAAATGCCAGCCAAATAATGCACGTAGTGTACATAGTAAATCCAATAAACTTAGACTCATTGAAGTTTTCCGGTATTTTTCGGGTCTTAATTGCATAAACTGTGCAAATTGTTATCAGAATCATATTATACAGTTGCGAAAAGAGAAAGGACATGTCCTGTATTTTGCATTTGAGTATAACTTCTTTACGATCAGGATAATAAAAACGAGTTCCAGGTGGCTCCACAATCATCCAAATCATTGTGATTAATATTTGAATTGCTGCAAAACAAAAAAAAAATGTTAATATTGTCATAATATGTATTCAAAAGAACTTTCAACTTTACCAATAAGAGATGCGGTTATGACGACTTGCGATTGAGGACTTATATACTTAAGACGCTGGGCTGATTTTGATGCAGAATGAAATATACGTGAAATTCGATTAGTTTTTGTTAAAAGAGCGCTATATATAATGGAAAAGCCTACGCCTATTCCAAACCTCTGCACCACACAAGATCCAATTGTTGGCTTTGCTATTAACGCGAAAGTATTAAAATAGCAAACTAGTATTCCAAAAAGGAGAGTATAGCTTAGCTCTCTACCGGATGCTCTCACCAATGGTGTATCGTGATTTCTTGCAAATAAAACTATAACCAGGATTGTTACCAATATTCCAAGTATGGCTATAGCCATTGGAATAACAGAAAATAATGAATTCCAGCGAATATACTGAATGTTCAATGCATAGCACGAAAGTTTATCTCGATATGGCCAACGTCCAGGGCCACAATCTCTACATGTAAACTCATCATAAACATATTCGTACGGTTCGCAGCTGTCACATATCCAACAACAAGTATCCCCCTGTTTGTGATTATCGTTAAAATAGAATATTATGTACATAGTCTTTAAAGTACATAGTATGTACTACATACCTGCTGTTTTTTAATCATTCCAACTTCACAAGGTAATGAACAGGCGGAAGAGGGTTGCTCAACATCTTTATTCCAGACAACAGTCTCGGAATTAAGTTGCAATCCATTAAACCATTTTCCGATTACCTTAAAGTTCATTAGTAGTGAATCGGTAGAGTTCAAACCGCATATTAAAAAAATAGAAACAAAGAAAACATTTTTAATACTTGTGTTATGCTTATTTATTTTTACTTTCAAAAAACAAGAAAAGAAAGCTAGTCTAGGGGGACCCAATTCATCTTTAAAGAAATAAATTATTTGAATACAAAAATTTACCAAAAGTCCCAATCTTCTATCTTCAAAAATACCAAAGTAGTATTATTTTGCCAAAAGTAGCATCCATAGAAAATCCCAACTGTCTAACCAATACCAAAGTTATGGCATTTCCGATGAATCATTTATAGCGGCAATAGGATATAGTCGGCCGATCCCCGTCGTTCCGGCTTATATACTGCTTGCAAAGAAAAGAAGGGTGTGTTGTTTGAAGTTGAAAGTTTTCACAAGGAAAATAGGACATGCTTATATCAACTCAGGAGGTGATCCTGATCAAAAATCAGGATACATTCACGCTTCTGAATATAGCGTAAACGCTACTGCATACATTCACCAACTAACGCTACGCTACTGGTTACTTTCACGAACTTTAAGGCGGCCAAGGCTGCTTTATGAGCTAGGTGCGAAGTGCCCAGATGCGGCTCGGAAAAAACAACTTTATTTCAACTGCGCTTCACCAAAGCGAGGAAAATACTTCTGGGAGAAATTACGGTGGTCGAGATTCTAAGAAGAAAGATTATGACGTCTTGAGAAACGTGTGGAACATTGCAGAATGTACAGTGACTAGAGGTAGCGAGAGAGAGGCGTAATACACGCAATCCTGTCCATGCAAAGCTAAGCTATGCAGCATTACCGCAGCGCACACGGAACAACTATATCACTTTTTTTTCTTTATTGTCTCCTCTTATATATTATATTACCATTGACCATACCATAGGATATACTATAGCAAGTATAGTTTAAAATGAATTTCTTATAACACATTTACAAAAAAAAGTCCAAGATAAAGACCAAGATCATCATACTACCATCAATATGCTGGCTCAGCTCTCGGGCCCATAAGGGTGGAACAATATTAGGGTGGAATAACATACATGAATGAATACGCATGAATAATAAATGAATAACAAAGAAAGAACAATAATAATTAATAATAAAATGATTAACATTAATAAATGATTGATGATAAAATTATTAACAATAAGAAATTATTCATAATTATATGATTAATATTAATGAAGGGAATACAAATTGGTCTGCTCAGCCTAAGCTGGGAGTCGGCTGTTAATTACTCCACCCTTAAGTCGGTCGCAGTCCTCGGTGACAGCCAATTCGTCGATGGACTTTTATAATTGGTATGCATTTCGTTTTCACCTGCAGTGTAATAGGAACTTTTTTCGACATATTTTTACTGACAGTTGCGTTTTCTTTGAGAACATGAGTAAGTGGCCTGGCAATAAAGAAAAAATTCTTCACAAAACTTCTGTAATAGCCCGCCAGGCCGAGGAAAGACCTGAAGCTAAACAGATTTTCTTGGTCCGGGGAACTCTTGTATTGACTTGACTATTTCAGGGTCGATGGCTCTTTGGAATATGCTACCTGTGTTTTTTAATCCGAAAGATAGTCTACAAAATTCGTGTTTCCCTCCGTTAACTGAGAACGAGAAGTTCGCTAGAATCGATTACTAACCGCTTTTTCCTGATGCCATTATCAGGAACTCCGAAGGTTACGAAGATTTGGAAGCCTAACAAAGTCTGCTGCCCCCATAGGATAGGGGTATAATCTTGAGTAGAAGGGTTCGTCACTCTTAGTTCGAATAGTAGCAATGACGGAGGTGTTGTAGGTGAGCGAGGCACACGAACTTGTTTCCGAAAAAGCGTTATACCTTCAACAATTTTTATAATTTCGTAATGAAATTGATCTCGTTTTATTCAGGATTATTGAGACAATATTGATATTCTCGGGGCAAGCTGAGAAACAAATATTAGTTTCGATGGAGGTTTTTGTGTCGCAGGTAAAATTCATGCAATTTCATGCAACTGGATCCGAGGTATCACTTGAAATGATGTCACGGAGTATATGGTATATCTGAAAATTCCTCAATTATTCTAAGAAATTTGGACGTCGAATTATTCTCAGTTCCTAACCTCCGGGTACCTAGAGATATGATCGGGTACGTATTTTCGGCTGAGCCGGCTGGGATGAAGGGATTGTTACAATACAAGACTTAATTAAGCACACCAGTTTAATCTTCATAGTAACATCAAGAGTAACAAAAATATAATAAACAAGAAAGGAAAGCTAACTTCGGGCGGAGCCGAAGTGTATATACCCTTGCAGTTAAAACCGGATATATATTGCAAACATCGGATATAGTTGGCCGCTCCTTATGGGAATAGAAATATATAATCCAATTTATTACAATACAAAATATAAAAAAAGTCCCAAACTTCTATCTTCAAAAATACGAAAGTTGGGTCATTTCCGATCGTTCAGTTATATGGCAGCTATAAGATATAGTGGGCCGATCTGATGAAATTTGGCATGTCGTAATGTGTTGCTAAAAATAGCTCTCGTGTCAAATTTGAACTCTCTAACTCTTAAAACGCCAAAGTTATACCATTTCCGATCAATCAGTTATATGGCAGCTATAGGATATAGTCGGCCGATCCCGGCCGTTCCGACTTATATACTGCGTGCAAAGGAAAGAAGGGTGTGTGCAAAGTTTCAAGTCGATAGCTTTAAAATAGAGAGACTAGTTTGCGTAGAAAAAGACAGACGGACAGACGGACATGCTCATATCAACTCAGGAGGTGATCCTGATCAAGAATATATATACTTTATAGGGTCGGAGATGTCTCCTTCACTGCGTTGCACACTTTTGGACAAAATTATAATACCCTCTGCAAGGGTATAAAAACACATAAATCCTGAACCACTATAGCAAATAGAGACAATGCGGAAACTTTGAAGACAGCGAATAAAGAAGTCACAGAGAAATGCAGAAATAGAGATAGGAACCTCTATTGCTCAATAAAACAAAAAAGGACGGCTTTAGTCAACTTTTTCGACTACATTATACCCGGTATAAAGGTTAACTAACCTTTTTATTTGAAACTTTAACGATATGGATTCTCAGCAACAAACAAAGGCTGCAGCGCCCATACTACCTCCATACATACTACTACAGCCATACTAACGGTTCATTAGGGAAGCACACTTAGGGCCGTCTATAACTTCTCTAAAAATTATCCGATTTGGCTGAATTTTGATTTGTAGATGTAGATTATATATTGGAATAGTTTGGCACCAAAACATCAAAGAACCCTGAAAAAATTGGCGCTACAACGAGATTTTTGTTTTGTGTCGGGAGTGGGCTTGAGAAAGTTTTGACAGAAACTTGATCTGCACGGATACCGAAAATACCATCATTTTCGGACTCCCTATAGCGGAGTAATACCAAATCGATTAGTATTCGTAGGTGCCACTCTTATTGAAAGAGTATCAACACTACGAATCCAACGTTAGTCGACTAGCAGATAGTTCAACCACAAACTGTTTAACCGCAAACGGTAAGCGGAATGGAGTAAAGAAGAATACGAAGAGTGTCGGGTCAAGCAGCAAGCAACTAATTTAAACACAACAATTAATTAGTAACTAATGTTTTGCTGGTCGCAAGCCGACTCTCTTTCGGCCGCTCGGCTTTGCTACTTCGGCGTTTATAGTTAGCGAGCATCCGCTCAGCCTATTCTGCAAGGTTGGCGCCACTCTCGTTCGTCTTCTTACTGCGCTCGCATCCTAAATTGGATTTCAAATATTGTTCATAAATCCTAATTTCATATGCGGCCTGAATAAAGTTTATAACGTTGAAATTAATTAAATTCTGATTTTTTATTTACGGCATCGAAAACTCTCGATGACCAAACATTGGTGAACCCCGACGTGATCGTTAATATATTTATATACACATAAACAAATTACTAAAACAAAAACAAAACAATTTTGTAAACAGTGTTATGTGAAATTATCATTATCAAATTATCATACGTGTCTAATAAGTTTATTTACAATAATAAACAAATTATAATATATTATTATATTATACATACATACAGGCATAAACATAAACGTTAGTTCACAAGCACACATACATATTTACGATCCACAACGCAAGTGCATTCGCCCGCGCATAGACTTCATACAAACATACGATCCACAACGCAAGTGCATTCGCCCGCGCATAGACTTCATACAAACATACGATCAACAACGCAAGTGCATTCGCTCGCACATAGCTTCATATATATATACATTCCACAATTCCGCTACGGTTCTGAGCGCACAGTGGGACAGATCGTGTTCGCCGCGAGCAAATAAAATTTATTTCGGTTGTTCGGAACTCAATATAATATATCATGAACTCCAGCGGCGCCGTCACAGGAGCACCCACACCAACCCGGAGTGCAATTTTAAAGTGCAAGGCCCTGGGTATTCTCCAGGACTTACAGAGGAGCTCTTCAGCCTATTTCCAAGGTGGATGATGCCATGCTACACGTGCGACATGTTCAGATAGCCACCATGTTCAGCGACTTCAAGGCCATCAACGGGGAGCTTGAGGATTTGGACATTTTGCAGATCAGCAGTGACCTTCGATGGACTGTTTCGGAGCTCGTAGCGACGATGCAGGCGGAAATTGAGCACGAGACGACCCTTCGCTCATCTCGAATTGCTGCCCACTCCACCCTTGCCAACGGAATGTCCACCATGCAGGCAGACCCAGGATTAGGTCAAAGTTTTTAAGTGCTGCCTCCTTTGCCGCTCCCTACGTTCAGCGGTGGATACTCGGAATGAGCTGAATTCCACTCGATCTTCTCTACCATCGTCGGCAGCAATCCTCGTATTAGTAAGGTGGAAAAGTTGCAAAGGTTGCGATCTTGCCTTCGGGAGTCCGCTTTCGAAGCAGTTCGTTCCTTGGAAGTCTCCGACGAGAACTATGATGTTGCGCTGAATTTATTGGAGAAACGATTTAATAA